CATCTTTACTGTGCTAATGTTTGAACTGGATCGTAACATCATCACCCATCAAAAAGAAAGGAGCCCAATACTTTGGTTCACTGTATTGTGGCGTTCTTCTCATGTCGTTCATCGTCAAATGTAGGCTTGTACTTGCGCTCTTGCCGTCCTTCAAATGTGTGTAAAATTTTACCATAAACTCACGAGTAGCTTGGTCATCGATGGCCCACAGAGATCCCACAACTGCACGAGCACCTGACGCAAGAAAGGCTCGACACATGCCGATTACTCCCTCACTCTTTATTTCACCACGTCCACTGTGACAACAGCTTAACACAATTAATTGTGCACCTACTTGAGCCTGCTGTACTTCAGCCATGGTCAGCATGTAATCTTCTTCATCTGGGATCTTTGTTGCTCTTATTTCTGGAGAAGGTGCAAGTACGATGGTAGCTTTTGACAGGATACCATGTGCAGCAATGTGAACAACAGATACTCCTTGTCGTAGCTTCTCCAGGACCGCAGGCTTTGTAGCGACGGCTGCCAATAATGGACGAACACCAAGAATGCAGGCAGTATCTAATGCCTCGTCTAGTGCGCCTTCTAAGTAGCCTACGTCCTTTTCTGTTCCATCCATCATGACTCGACCAACCAAGGGACCACCAATAATTAGTGCACCTGTGCTGGAGTGATGCTCCACTGGGCATTCTTGGAGAAGCTTTAAAGATGTTATCGAAGGAGCCAATCTAATTCGCTTTGTCTCTGATAGATATCGTCCCGTATCTGGGTCCCGTAGGGCAGCAAATGGTACTTTGTACAAGGGACCTTCAGGAATAATGACAATCTCCTCTTGTTTGATCAAGCACTTGATATTGTGTATTAACTTGTGGTACAATATTTCCAAGCCGCTGGTCAAGCTGCTCTCATCGATGTTTTCGAATTGTGATGGATTTCCTCTGCTTCCACAAGCAGAACGGTATTGGTCTGAAAAAAAGTTCTCTTTCTGTCGAGTCAACAGCTCTGTTAATTCATCTTCCTTGCGATTCTTCTTCTTTTCAAAGTAGTGCATGTGATCTAAAGATCTGTCCTCACAGTTGACTACTTGACGCACTTTGATATCGTCAAATGTTTTATCAACAAGCTTGTCTAAGCATGCTTCACGATATTCCAAAAGCTGGACTGAACATTCAAGCTCGTTGCCTGCTTCTATTAGAAACGTACACAACTCCTTAAAATACGTTACATAAAACAGAAGAGTGTAACTACTGCTGGATACAAGGGACTGAACATCAGCGTAATGCAAACCCTCTTTAGCAATTGGTTCTTTCGTCATTCCATAGCTTAACACAAGGAGATCTTTCAAGGCTTTTGCACGGTAATGGTCCGACAACACCAGAGCTTCTTCTTTATTATTTTTATCAATAAGAACCTTCAAAAGCATCTTGGAAGTCTCTACTATATTTCGGTCAATAAAAGCTATTTTAAAACGATCGTTTTGTGCTAGATGATCAAAGATAAATTCAGAATGCTTTAAGGAATCCTTGAATGACTTCTCCGCCTCCTCAGTTTGCCCTAGGTTATAATAGGCTTTGCCAAGTCCATAGTGACAATTTGCCACAAATGTTGTTTTGTCGCCATCTACCAGTGCACCATTTAATGCTTCTTTGTAACATTCTATAGCTTTATCGTACTGACCAAGGAAAGCATGCACTTGTGAGATACCTGCCTTGAAATACGAGAAAATAGAAAGTTTATTATTTGTGTGTGTTTCTGTGGCAGTTGCCATACCGTCTTCCAGACATAAAAGGGCTTCCTCATATTCACCTTGCGATAAATGGTGTTCACAGCGCTTAATACAATGAAATATTCCTTGAGTGCAAGCATCTGCGCATGCAGTCTCAAATAAACTTGTATAAGTCGCATCGTCCATGACCTCTTCAAATATACCAACCTCCCAATTAACAATGTGAAGATTAGACTTGAATCTTAAGTTACTAACGTTCCTCTTGTCCTTAAGATCCTTCTCCATGCTCATGCCTTTTCTAAAATATGTATAAGCATCATCATATTTTCCGCCTTTATGATTGACAGACCCCAAAATATCATACGCACTTATTTCAGCTACTTTATCACCAGATTCTTGTGCAATGGCAAGACATTTCTCAAGGTATAATATAGCATCATCATATTCTTCCTTTTTGAAGAGAAAAACACCCAACAACATGTACCCATCTATCTCAGCCTTTTTATCACCATATTCTTGTGCAATAAACAGAAATTTTTCAACGTAGAATATAGCATTATCATATTCTTCCTTTTTGAAGAGAGAAACACCCAACAACATGTACGCATCTATCTCAGCCTTTTTATCACCATATTCTTGTGCAATAAACAGATATTTTTCACCGTAGAATATAGCATGATCATATTCTTCTTTATGCAAGTGGGCATTCCCCAACGTCATGTACGACTTCAGCTCGACAACTTTATTACCAGATTCTTGTGCGGTGGCAAGACATTTCTTACTATAATATATAGCATCATCACATCTGTCTTTCTTCAAGTGCGCATCCCCTAACATAATGTACGCGTACATCTTAACC